TGACATCTGGCCTACCAGCTGCAAGCAGGTATAACGTTTGCCTTGCCTGACTCGCAAAGCAGTTTCTCAAGAAATAGCTGTGAAGTAAAAAAATGAAGTCCTTGGGCAAGGCAGGTTGGACCTCGCCAAACCCTTTGGGCAGGATTCTACTCACTGGGTCACCGTTACGCGTATTGTTCAGCGGTGCTCTAGTCTCCCGGAGGGACACACCTTGATGAATTGCAGGAAACACTCCACTCTCCTCGGTCACATGTTTACACATACTCTCGCATGCCCCTCTGCCCCGCTCCCCACCCGTTTTCTATGCAGCTGGCATTCCCCGGCAGGCTGCAGAAGCCGCAAGGGCAATTATGATGCCGGGACATTCTCTCCCCGCAGCTGGCGGCTCTGGCCCTCTCTGCACAGGGGTCAGGAGCACACTTTCCTCCGGAAAGCTGACCATCCTCTGGACGGTTGTGTTGTTCTGGGTTCTTTCCCCGCCGCCGGCATGGCATTGAGTGCGGCCCGAACTGAAACATGACATTCCACTTTGCAGGTCCATGGCAGACCCCTGGGTGGATGGAGGTGGGCAGGCCTTGCGGCCTTCCCTCCGGACTTGGCTCGATTCCAGCTGGACTGTCCTCAAAGGACACAGCGCTCTCCTACGGGGCGAAGGCACCGGGCCAGAAGAAAGAGAGAGAGAGAGCCCGCCCACCCAGCGCGTTGAAGCTGAAGGGAATGCCGGCCCTGACCGGACCCCGTCCCCGAGCAGGCTGGCTGGTGGGTGCTGGGGTGAGACGCAGGGAAGGAAACAGCCACCTCGTCTTCCTGCCGTGGATGAACTTGGCACAATTCCTGTTGTTCCCTCACCGGCTCCATCTCCGAGCGCTCGGATGAAACGCCTGATCGCTTTCCTTTCCCAGAGTTTTCAGGAATCAGCAGGGAAACAATTCGAACGTGCAATCGAGAGCCGCTTCATGCTTTGCTCACCCTGTGGGAATCCTGGGGCTTATCTCAGTCACCGCTTACTTGGCTTTAGAAGTACCTGCCTCGCCCGCTTCGTCCCTGTCCCCCCGGTCACTCAGTTCTCTTGCAACAAAAATGCTCTCACTAGCTGTTTCCTGGAGGGGTGGCAGGATCTTATTCGGGCTTCTCAAGTGAGTGTTGCAAGGGTGTGCTAAGTGTTTGAGCCTTCTCTCTCTCTCTCTCCTCCCCTGTAATAGTTCCACAAGTTCTAACCTGGCATGCCTATGCTCAGACGCCAGAAATATGACAAATATTCAGATAAGCCCATGGAATTTTAAGCACAGGTCTGCTGCTGTGCTGGGGAAGAGTTCAGAGAGCTTTACAATGGTGGGTGTGCACAGGAGTCTGCACCCGGCACCTCACCCAACCTGCCGGGGATGCTGCGTCACCCCTGGGGGGGCGGTGAACTAATGCATCCCACGGTGATGCACTGGGACAGTGTCCTTCTCAGAGGAGTGTTGTTACAGAGAATGAGCAGCCAGAGGGGAAATAAAGGCAGGAAGGAAGGAAGCCCTTGAAATTCTATGTATCTTTCCCATGAACTGGGAAAGAAAGCCTTTGCAACTCTGCTTTCATCCCAAAGCCCGAAAGGCACCCTAAGCCTAAAGGAAGAAGCCCGTTAACTCCTTTAGGTGCTCACGCCGCCGGCTCCCCCATCACCACCCAAAGCTGGCACCACCTTCACCTGTCAATCAGTATGTAACTTCTTCACCCACTCAACTTTTTAAGTCTTCAGGACAAAGGGCCTGGCAGGTTTGGCGCTCTTGGCCAGAGCTCTTGGCTCTCCGGCCGCCTGGCCAGGACACCAGGCCTCAGGCCACCTGGCTTCTGGCCGTCCCAGCCCTCACCACCCCTGCGCACTCGCCACACGGGCCTTTCGCCACCCTTACCCTGCTTCACCCCGAACCTGTGCCTTCCAGCTCCCCACCCCCACCCGGGCTAGGCTGGGTCTCTTCCACAAGACCGGGTCACCCATAAACCCTGCTTGCGTGCTCACAGACTCACTGATCTTTCATTCTTTACTGCGTTGGCCAGAAGAACCCAGTTTTTGGGAGTTTCCCCTGTAAAAACAGTAGGGCAAATATTTAGTGTAAAGGACTTCTTCTGTATACCTCTTAAACCTTTGTGCTCTCCTGTTTAAGGAACTTAAAGTGAGGTTAACCTTTCATTTCAACTTCAACCTTTGTGTGTACATGGGGTTCTCTCTCTCTCTCTCTCTCTTTCTCTCTCTCTCTCTCTCGTTTGGCAATATAATGTAGCAGAAAGAGCTCAGGGTTGGGAGTGAAACCCATTCCTGAATCCCAGTTCTGGCGTCTTCTGAAGGTAATAACATACAATTTAAGGAGCTGCGATGATTACAGAGGCCGCGCTGGGGAATGGGAATGGGAGGGAGGCGGTGTCCCTCCCACTTGGCCAAACCGTCCACCACCATGACACCGAGGTTGGGGTCTTTACAATTCTCTGGTGTGGAGTGACTCGCGGGCCGCTGATTTCCGAGGCCGGAGCGAGAGAGAAGGGGCCGTGCACCTCTGCTCAGCCACGGCTCCTCCCTGCGCGCCCTGCCCTGCCTTAGCCTCCTCACGGCTGGGTCCTCTTTTAAAAAGTGTTTTCTGTGTGGAATGCTGTTTTGGACTTCCTGCACCGGCGCACTGGACAGGCCTCCCTCACCAGGGCTCTCGCAGACCTGGCCTTTGTGAAACGCTCGATCGGAGCCCTGAGCAGCACACAAACTCTCGAAGACTCTGGGGCCTCCGAAACTGGCAAGCGTTTCGGGGAAATTTGTTTGCTGCATGATTAATCCTGGGTAGATTGGTCCCGGAAAAGCACATGTGGCTTTGCAGCAAGCAGCAGCCTGCAGAATTCCACCAAACCAACGGAGAGGCCTGGACGTGCGTGTCGTGGATGAAATTTCAGAGCAAACGGCGGGGGGGCGGGCGCTGACGACTGAGGAAATGCCAGATGCGTGCCCAGCGGAGCGGCTTTGAACCCCCTGACATCCTCTGAGACAACACCCGGGCCCAGATTCTAAAACCAACTGGGATCACAACGCTGGGTGAGGGAGGCCCCGGGAAGGGGAAGGGTACTAGGAGAAGGATGATAAAATTCATCCCCATAATTACCCCCAGCCCGACTCTGCAACAGAGAGCCAACAATAGCTTAGCTCAATGAAGTTATTCATCCATATGCAAGTTGCTTCACTCATTATCCTCAGACAAAGCCCCCGGGGCCTCAGCTCCTTGCCAGCAGGCCAGCAAATCGGCATCCACACACCGCCATCCCCTCCCAGCCACCCGCAGCCCTGGGGGGGCTTCTGCCTTTAGCAGTCTTCGGCTGTGTTTTCAGACTAGGTTTACAGCCACCCTTCAGGAGTAACTGTGACACTCGGGAACGGGCTTCAAGGTAATTACAGCTAACCCTTCCCTGGGAGCAAATGGAGGATGCGCCCAGCTGCCGTCTTTCCCGAGCAGGGCTGGGTGGGGCTCGGTTTGGGGACCTCCCACACCTTGCCCTGCGGAGCACGGAATGCTGTTGTGTTGCACGCTGTCTCGCCAAAAAGGAAATGTGACTGAAATGCAGAGTCGGGCCCATGGCAGCGAAAAGAGAAGTGCCCAAGATAGGGCCACCACAAATAGTCCAGGGGCCTGCAGAGAGAGTCACTCCCGCTCTCGGAAGCAGACAGTCGCACAGACGGTCAGTACAGAAGTGCTTCGCACCCCCGGATCCTTTCCCCAGGGCTGGGTATTTCTGTCTTGACGGGGAATTACAGCGGCCTAGGTCAGGTCCACTCCTCCTTCAAGCCACTCCCTCCCAGGATTCCTCTGGAAGGGGGGACTACCTCCATCCTCACTTTGGAAAAGGTACATTTCCCTTTCAGAGCACAGCTCAGCCACCTCCAGCTCCAAAGAGCATCCGTTCGATTACAATTCCTTCCATCAGTATTTAGTGAGCGACTACTATGCACCAGACTTTGTTTGGGCCCCGGGGATCAAGGCTAAGGAACAGCGGTGTCCTTGGGAGCTTAGAGTCTTTGGGGAGAAACAGATAATAAAAACCCAAGAAAAGAAATAAAATATTGACACATGTTTGAGGATGCCACCGACTGGGCAGAAGGAGGTGAGGGCTGGGGGGCTGGGGGCGGGGGCTGTGTGAGGAAGAAGAGGGGAGGGAACGGAAAGTTGCAGATGACCAGGCAGGCGGAACCCCTGTCATCAGACTGAATGCATTTCAGGTCTGAGGAGTCACCAAGGCTCATGTGGTCATTGGCACTGCTGACCAAGTTCAACCCGGCCCCAAACCAACTCAGTAAACCTCAGGCTCCCAGCCATCCTTCGTCATTCCCTTGTGCTGCTCAGGGGCCGTCCACTCCGTCCTTCCCACACACACTGTCCTCCACACAGAGGATCCCGGGGCCTCTTCCCGCCGTCCCCGCCGATGGGGTCCTGAGTGTGCCTGACATGTGGGCGCACGGCGTGTAAGACTCAGCAGCCCCGAGATAGACACTCGCTGCGCTGCACGGGGGGAGCCCTCTCCGCGCCCCAGCACTCCCGAACGTCCCTCCCCATGCCCTGGGGCCAATCTCTCCGGAGGCCACGGGCATCTCTCCTGGGCACAGCCCAGTAGGAAAGCCCCATCCCGGCCACGGATGGCTCCTTGCAGTCATCCGCCACCCTATCTCTGCTGAGCTGAGCTGAGCTGAGCAGGGCGTGACAGGAGCTGAGCTGCCCGTGAGGGGAGACCCCCCACTGTTCCCCACTTTCGCTGCCTGTGGATTCCGGGGCCCCTCCTCGCACCCGTTCAGCTCTTTCTTTGGGACCTGGCACCAGCTAAGCCGCTGCCTCGCCCTGTCCCGGGCCCTCCAGGCTGGCGTGCGCGCACACTCCGGCTCCCCTCTGCTCCCCTGGGCACCCGCAAATACCAGGCCCCGGCACCCCAGCAAGTCCCGGCTCGCTGGCCCCCAACAGCAGCTGCAGGGCGGCGCTGGCCCCGCGTCTTACCTCCGTCTGCCGGAACCCAGAGCAGCGTTCTTCCCAAAACCAGCAGCAGAACTGGCACCTTCCACATCCTTGCAGTTAGCTTGTTCTCTGTGGGGCCGAGCAGCGAGTCCTCTCCGTGCTGGCGGAGGGGGGGGGGGGTGTGGATTAAAAAGCTCCACAGACGGGCACAGGCCCTCCGCTGGCGCTGGCCGAGCCGGCGCGAAAGAGGGGAATGGAATGCGGGGAGCAGAAGTCCCAGTGCAGGAGGGGCCCCCCAGGCTTCCTTCGCCCGCGGCGGTCGGCGGGGCACACTTTGCACTTGGGAACTTCGGGACTGAAGTCAGCATTTATCCCTCCCAAGGAGGGCGGGAGCGCCCCGCCGTAAGGTGGTCTCCGTCCGGGGCTCGCTGGGACCGCCCTCCCGCTCTGTTTGGCCAGCGCTGAAACGATGACCTCAGGCCAGGTTTAAAGTTACAGGGCCGCTCGTCGCTGTGGGGGCCGCCGAGACGTGCGGGGGAGCCCAGCCCCGGCAAAATTGGCTTGTACTGTGTTCCCCAACAGGAGGGGAAGGGGGCGCACGGAGTACGCGGTTTATTTATTTTTTATTAACTTCATTCTGTTTTTTAAGCGCAAGGCACAAGCGCTAGGTTTTTCTTCTTATGAGAAGTAAGGGGTTCCTTGTGTGCCGGTCATTTCAGAACCGAGCACGGGATTGCGCCTGTAAATATTGAATTTGATGGCTTTAAAAAAATAAGAGAGTGGCCGTCCTCATCTGAGCTGGCCAAGAGGAGGCTCACGCGGGTAAATTGCAGCTTTTGTCCAGGAGGGGCAGGAGGGGGTGGGCTGGGGGGGGGGGGCGGCTGCCTGAGAAGGTGGGGGGACTTGGCAGGGTTGGTGGCTTTGGCATTTTGGGGCGCAGGACGGTGGTGCTGGCACCCTCGGATGGAGCCTGCGGCCCACCCGGTCCCCAAGCCTGTGCCCACCTCCAGCCGGGTGGGGCCCCTCCTTCCTCAGCCCTGGAATTCGCCGGTAATCCCCACTCTTCTGGGTTAAGCAAGCTCACCCTGACCCCAGGTGCAGGATGCTAGCAGCAGGAAGATAACTCAGAGTTTTGACTTTATTGCCTTCTGAACTGGTGAGATTTCTCTCTCTTTCTCTCTCTCTCTTTTTTTTTTTTTAAGAAGAGGAGTTGGGATGGTGGCCTCTGCCCCACTCCCAGACGCCAAAAATTTCATTGAACGAAAAAACCTGAAAAACAAGTGCCTTAAAGCTCCATACTGGGGTGAAAATTGGTTGTTCTCAGATCTTTATCCTAGGCTTAGTTATTCAAATTTGCTTTATCGTGAGGATCACAAGGGGAGACTGCAGGATCACAAGGGGAGACTGCGATAAAGGCTCAGATTCTTGGGGTCCCCCTGCTCATGAACCAGGCCCTTTGGGAATTCATATTTCACGCCAGTGTCCCTGGGAGACAGGAGAGTGAGGAGCTAGGAAAGTGCCTTGGTGAGTGCACTAAGGAAACTGAGACAGAGGGCTGCCTGCACATTGACGGCCAGGTGCAGTGGTCACCAGGACGGGCCTTCTGGGCAGGGGGCAAAGCTGGGAAAACAAGGACTTTGCCCCCAGGGTGGCCTTCTCCCCCCCTTCCCCCCCTCCTGCCCGGAGACAACGTCCAGGCCTCAGCTGTGTCTCAGCCCCAGGCCCAGCAGAGCAGCAACACCAGGTGGGCCACCCCAGAACCAACTGCAGTAACTGAGGACCCCCTGCCCCGGCACTGACCAATCAGTAAAGATCATGACCTTTCCTGGAAGAGCACACCTGGAGATCTGATGCACGGTCCACTGAACCCTCCCCCAGACCGCCCCTGAGATTCCAGCCTGCAGGAGAGAGATAAAAGCCTCAAGATGAAGGATCCTCCAGCAAGCGCCCTCCCTCTCGGAAGCAGCCCCAGCTGTTCCCTTCCCGTTTTCTCCCCCAACTTCTTTCCTTGTAGGTGTGTGTCTCCTAAACGCCAAGGCCATGGGCAGCTGGCAGTCTGTCCCAGGCCGATCCCCTGAACCTGTCCCCAAAGCCACCTTTTCTCCGCCTTCCCAGTGAGCAAAGGCAGCCTAGCCTGGGCTCTCCTGTTGCTTCTTCTGTGCTCAGCCCTTCCCTGTGTCACTGTCTCCAGCTTCCATAAACGCATCCTCATAGCCACCTGGACTCATGTTGTGACACTTTCCTACACGGAGTCAAAAACCTACACCCTACACCCGGCAGGCCCACTCGGGGCCAGGCCCCTGTCTCGTAACACCCGGAGAGCCTGTCCACAGGGATGTTTAGTGCCGACTAAATGCAGGTGCAGCCTCCTGGGTCTGGGGTGGGGGCGGGGGGCTCTGCTTTGCTAAAGCCCTCCAAAGCGATGCCTGGTCCTGGCCCCGGTGCCTGAAATGAGAGGAAGGGCACCGACCGGTGCCTGAAATGAGAGGAAGGGCACCGACCGTTCAGGGGGTTGAAAGTGTGAAGAGAAAACTGGGGATAGAGAGGATAATCCAAACTGACTCGCCCATCTTGCCACTACCATTTATTATGATCACTGCCTTTTCAGCAATGCCTGCTGCACGGACGGACTGCATGGTGCCAGTCTTGCCTGCAGAGTCTGCTACACGGGGAAGAGATGCACATCCAGCCCGCAGTCAAGGAGAAATGCAGCTCATTTAGAGGGTGCCTGGGGTCAGGTTATTGTTGAAGGAGAGGCCCCGACCCCCTGCCCCAGTCCCTGCCCCCCACGGACTGGTCTAGATGCTACCAGGTTGGTCACCTGACCTCTGGTGGAGGATGGAGGAGGAGTAGGTCACAGGGTGTTGCCTCCTGTTGGAAGCCATCCTGGGGGACGGGCAGAGGGGTCAGGACTCTGGAGTCTACGGAGAGGGTCCGGGTGCTGTGGGTTCGAGTACCTGGGCAGAGAGGCTGGGCCAAGTTGGGAGACCTTCCTCACAACACAAACAGCAGAGTCTAGAGGAGGGATGACGGGCTGGGCACAGGTGGGAGCCAGGGCGCACCTGAGCGACTCGGGGTAGGTAAAGAGGGGGCAGTGAGCTGAGTGGGGGCTGGAAGGCTGAGACCAACCCCGAAGAGAAGACGCAAACAAGTAGGGAACGTGCCAGAAGATTCCTCCATCCTCGAGAAACAGCCTGTGGCCCTGAAGTGGTGACGGGCGAGATAACAGTGACATTGGCCCCGCACCCGGGAACTCTAAGAATCCAGCACTATCTCACTGACGTCTCAGAACCACCCTGCGTTAAGAACACTAATAAATAACACTCGCGTCATGAATGAGGAAATGGGTTTCCAAAGCAAAGTGGTCTCCAAAGGAATGTGCATCTGATTGGCCAGCGTGGGGCCTGAGCATCTGCATGACTAATAAGTTCCCAGGCGCTTCTGCTGCTGGTCCTGGGGCCCTACTTGGAGAACCATCCATCGGTTTAGAGACCGCATACATGGTATGGAGTCGTCCAGAAGCGGTCATGGCAGGACTAGCGCTCTTCCGCTTGAGGGTCTGGAGGGAGAGGACTGTACGTCACTTTCAGGGAGCAGGAGCCCCCCTCCCCAGGGTGGGGGAGAAGGAGAGGAACCTGGGACCATCCATCCATCCATGCTGCGGGGGACGGGGTGTTCCCATCAGGATCTCCCGTTAGGAGCAGGACGCCCAGCTTCCCCAGGCTGCTGGGGAAGATTTCTCCTTGTCTTCTCTGGCTTCTTCTAGACACGCCCTGCTCCAGAGCTGAGACGGTGCCTGACGGAACAAATCTCCGATGGTAAAGGCGCCTCTGTGACTTGGAATCAATCACACTCGTCGGGGTCTGAGCTGGGCCCAAAATGAATTCAGCAGGAACAGAATGAGGCTGGGCATGGGGGTGGGGGCGGGGGGGGGGCGTGGCCACAGGGCTGAAGGGACCCGTAGCAGCTTCGTTTGCTGGAAGAAGCCCCCGTGTTTGGGAATCAAAATTCGGCTCCACGGTGGCCTTGGGCCACACAGGCCCTCGCTTCTTGCCTCTTTCAAGCGGGCGTGTGATCCCTGCTCTGGAGGTCTCTGTGCCCAGCGTGGAGTGTGACGGCCGCGCTTCTCAAAACACGCCCGAGGTCCGTGTGTTCCTGTTTCACGATAAAAATGGGCATTCATTCCAGGGAAGGTGGCAAACAGGAAAGCAGAAAAACGGTCCCATGCCCAGATTTTTGTTTGTGTGTGTTTGAAACTTTTTATTTTGATATAAACTCAAACTGGCATTGAACCTGAAGTAGCCGAAGCGCCCCACACGCCCTTGCACCCAGCTCACCAGTGTGCTTCTACTTTGCCCGTATGCTTCCTACCTGCCTCCGTATGGATACACACCCAAGTGTCGGTCTTGTTCTGACTCACGCGAGTGTGACGCCTGGCCGCCAGCCCTCCCTGCCTGGGTGTGAACTCCCCAAGGGCAGTCTCTCCCGGGTTGTCACAGGAGGAATTGCAAACTCACACAATTTAATATTAAAACCACGCTATTATTGTCTAATCCACACTCCATATTCAAACTTTGACAATTTCCCCAATGATGCCCTTGGTAGATTTTTGTTTTCACCCCCGGAATCTGATCCAGGGTCGCACATGGCCCTGGCTGTCACGTCTCCAGAAGAATCCGGAACTCTGCCTCGGCCTTTCTTTGTCTTTCTGGAACCTGATGCTTTGTGAAGACCTCGGGCCGGCACGCTTTGTAGACCGCCCTTCAGTGTGGGTCTGCCTGACCTTTCCTCCTGGTCAGATCCAGGTGTGCCTTTCTGGCTGGATGTGGCGATGTGCCTTCTCAGTGAGGAGGCCAGGACGTCAGTTCCCAATGTGTGCAGGTGTTAGTTAGCTTTGTCCCCTGGGTCAAGGTGGTCTTATCCTGAATTCGGAACATCCTTACCCGCACCTTTAATGGCAGGTACGCAAAGCAGGGAGAGACCTCGTTTTATGTCCGCACCTGGGACGAGTTTTTTCACCCCAGCATGGGGCGGATAAGGGGCTGCCTTTCTTTTACAATTGGGAGAGGGGGCGTGGCGAAGGTGCCGCCTTCTCCAGAGAGTTACAGAGGAACACTTCCGCACGTTGAAGACTGGAGAAACTGACTCCCTTCTGGCGTGCCCCCCGGGGAAATCTGTGTGCTGCCCCTGTTTGAAGGCCGCTGTCCGTCCCCTGCCCAGCTGGACCTCCTCCCGGCATTATGGCCGCCTCCCCCCTCCCGCCGCAGTTACAGGTTTGGGCCCCGTGTGCACGGGTGCTTCATCTCTGCAGCCCCGTCGCTGGAGCATGCTTCACAGACGTTTGTGGAAGGACAGCTTGGGACCCGCCCCCCAGCCCAGCCCAGATACGGAGTCAATGTCACATAATGAACCACGCACCAGC